GTTTTTTCATAATTGATCCATTTTCTATTATTCACATAAATTTATACATGTGAACTTTTTTTGATGATCAAGTGGGAGATTTTTCTTCAAAAACAGGGAGATTTTAGAATTTGATATACACAAAGAAGAATTAGTTCTGAAATCAAAAAGAGGAGGATTTCTTTAAATTCTCAAAATACCCCTTATTTTCATAAAAATCTTTGAAAAAATGGCCTAGAAAGTGAGAGAGTTCACATGTATGTAATATAATTCATAATCATTTGTATCAATGCACATCATATCTTCACAAAACTTAATTTTACATAAATATTTGCACTTAACAACTTTTATGTGATACATTTATGAATATCATCAAAAAGTATCAATGCTGTTAGTGCCTTTAAACAATTTCCTCTTACTGACATTACATCTTAAAATGTCAGATATTATTTATCATTTGAGTTCAAAAAGTCTAGAAACAAAAAATATGAAATTCTAACACACTTAGAAATTTTAAAACCTGCAAAAGATAATAAAAAAAGTATGTCCAGAATTGAATTGAATTTTGATTTTGTGTGTGATTTTTTAAGCCCAATTTGAGTGAAAAGTGTTCCAATGCTTTTTATTTTTGAGTCATTCTGCACAATAAAAATGATGATTCTGGAAAAACGGGGTTTAAATTTTTACGCACAAGTTATTGGTCTAGACCTACATCAAATAGTTCACAATTAAACCTCTGAAAAATATTTCTTGTTTTGTCATGTCAAAAAACCTCAGTTGAGTCCCTTTAATACTGTAGATGTTGTACTTGGTGCCTCCCTTTAATATTGTAGATGTTGTATTTGGTGCCTCCTTTAATACTGTATATGTTGTATTTGGTGCCTCCCTTTAATACTGTAGATGTTGTATTTGGTGCCTCCCTTTAATATTGTAGATGTTGTATTTGGTGCCTCCCTTTAATACTATAGATGTTGTATTTGGTGCCTCCCTTTAAAACTGTAAATGTTGTATTTGGTGCCTCCCTTTGATACTATAGATGTTGTATTTTGGTGCCTCCCTTTGATACTATAGATGTTGTATTTGGTGCCTCCCTTTAATACTATAGATGTTGTATTAGATGCCTCCCTTTAATACTGTAGATGTTGTATTTGGTGCCTCCCTTTAATATTGTAGATGTTGTATTTGGTGCCTCCCTTTAATATTGTAGATGTTGTATTTGGTGCCTCCCTTTAATACTATAGATGTTGTATTAGATGCCTCCCTTTAATACTGTAGATGTTGTATTTGGTGCCTCCCTTTAATATTGTAGATGTTGTATTTGGTGCCTCCCTTTAATATTGTAGATGTTGTATTTGGTGCCTCCCTTTAATACTATAGATGTTGTATTTGGTGCCTCCCTTTAATACTGTAGATGTTGTATTAGGTGCCTCCCTTTAATACTGTAGATGTTGTATTTGGTGCCTCCCTTTAATATTGTAGATGTTGTATTTGATGCCTCCTAAGATTGCTTTTCTGATTAAACTGTTTCCCGCAGATATTACACTGGAATGGTCTTTCTCCAGTATGTATTCTCATGTGTGTTTCCAACTTCCATTTTGTAGCAAAACGTTTGCCACACACAGAACATGTGTGTACAGTTAAATTCTTTATTTGTGCTTCAGCTGAAGATACAAGAAAACTTTATTTTATTAAATGATTAAATGAATATAGAAATAATTAGGTAGAATAATGTTCTTACAGGGTTGGCACTCATACAATACAAAAGCCACTGTTGGACTGGGGACATTACACTCGACATTTTTTTACTTTTTCTATAAGCAAGCAAATAAACGTTTTCAACAAATCTTTAAAAGGAAAAAAAGTCAAGCTGATATTGTACATAAAAACTATTCCATAATTGAGCAAGTAAACAAAAAAAAACATATGAGCCGTGCCATGACAAAACCAACATAATGGGTTTGCAACCAGCATGGATCCAGACCAGCCTGCGCATCCATGCAGTCTGATCAGGACCCATGCTGTTCGCTATCAGTTTCTCTACTTGTTATAGAGTTTGTAAGCGAACAGCATGGATCCTGATCAGACTGCGCGGATGCACAGGCTGGTCTGGATCCATGCTGGTCGCAAACCCATTATGTTGGTTTTGTCATGACGAGGCTCAAATCTCTAACAACAGTTTCAATCCATAAGATTTACAATTTATGAAGTCATGAAAATCACTGCTTTGATCTACAACTAAACCTTAAAATACATAACCCACCTGGCTTGTCTGTCCACCTGACCAGAATTTCCTGGATAACCCACCTAATGTGGTAATGTCTGGATTCAGCCTGACATTATTATAATATAACAAACACAATACTTTCTTTTTATTTCAACATAGTTTTATTTCATTATTTGTTGATTACACAAAACTATTTACATTAATATTACAATTAGAATATAAATCAAAGATATAGTCTACTTTGTAAAGATATAACCCTGTCACATGTAAAATTTTACATTTTTTTAAATCATACTACAAGTATAGTTTTTTTGGGTTATGTTTTGGTTGGGTTTTACTTCCCACCAACATAGTACAGGTCACAAGGCGACTTTCCAGCTTTACTGGCACAGGAAGGCATGAATAGGTACTTGAGTTAAGAACCACCGATTTTCCGTAAGCTTGCTGGATAGCTTCCTCACATGAAAGAATCCAAATTCCCTGTCGGGATTCGAATCCAGTGATGAGGGGCAATTAGTTGAAGTAAACAACCTTAACCACTCGGCCTCAGACAAGTACATGAAGTATAATATAAAAAAATCATTTAAACATGCATTGAAAACCATCATGCTGGCAAATTCCTGTTTACTGAAAACAATTATAAACACAGTTGCATAAAAATTAACAAAGTACATTGTACAGGAATACATCAATCAAATCAAAGACCAGTATAACAATGTCTATTTACAGAATTTCTGGCATAAATTAGTATCATTTTTACATTATAAGTCCAAAAATTTAATGCTCAGTCATTAACTTTATTATATATACAATTTAAAACATAATTAAAGTTTAATCATTTCAAACTTTTCATCTTGCACAAATGATCCTTCACATATTCAAAAGCTTCATCTGTAATAACCCTTGTTAATTACACTAGCTGTCAGATTTACTACATCTGTAATTACCCTTGTTATTTACACTAGCTGTCAGATTTACTACAACTGCAATAACCCTTGTTATTTACACTAGCTGTCAGATTTACTACATCTGTAATAACCCTTGTTATTTACACTAGCTGTCAGATTTACTACATCTGTAATAACCCTTGTTATTTACACTAGCTGTCAGATTTACTACATCTGCAATAACCCTTGTTATTTACACTAGCTGTCAGATTTACTACATCTGCAATAACCCTTGTTATTTACACTAGCTGTCAGATTTACTACATCTGTAATAATCCTTGTTATTTACACTAGCTGTCAGATTTACTACATCTGTAATAACCAAGGTTAATAACATAAGCTGTCAGATTTACTACATCAGTAATAACCCTTGTTAATTACACTAGCTGTCAGATTTACTACATCAGTAATAACCCTGGTTATTTACACTAGCTGTCAGATTTACTACATCTGTAATAACCCTTGTTAATTACACTAGCTGTCAGATTTACTACATCTGTAATTGCCCTTGTTATTTACACTAGCTGTCAGATTTACTACATCTGTAATTGCCCTTGTTATTTACAATAGCTGTCAGATTTATTACATCTGTAATAACCCTGGTTATTTACACTAGCTGTCAGATTTATTACATCTGTAAATAACCTCATTATTTGTTCTAGCTGTAGATTTCATAGAGTAAGGTATGTATTTCAGTTTCCTTTAGTTTTTGACTGAACCCGATACATAAATTTGAAGGGTTTTCTCTCAGTATAAATTCTCACTGTATTTTAGAGAAAATCCGTTACCGAAAGGTTTTTGCAGAATTTGGAGAGTATTTAAAAGGGATGGGCACATGAACTTTTTTGTTTGCCGCAGTTTCAGTGGGGTTTTTTCCAAAGTCAAAAAAAAATAAATAATATAAAAATTCCTTAAATATGTCACATTTTTTTTAATAATAGATATAAATGGGGTAGAAAAAATTCTTTTAAAATTGTTAAAAGTGAAAATGCAACTGTAAGACGTTTATCATATTCTCTGCCGCTTTTACAACTCTCTAAACATAGTATTGCACAGTGGTGCATATATTTTGATGTAACATCATTAGCATTATACAAACATAGCATAAAAACAACCTAAATGTTAGCGTCATAAAGAAAAGAAAAAGTGATTCATTTGTACTGTACACAATTTTATTTTGGATATGTAATAAATAGAATATTATATTCCTGTGGCTGCATTACTAAATTTATTTAACACGTTGACTAAAATGATATTATGCTTGCCAGATGCTCGCATAAAAAAGTTTTATTCATTTTATTCAATACTCGGAAAAAATGGATGGCACAGTCATATAGCTTTGTACTGATTAGTAGGTGTGTAAATTGAGAAGCCATTGGAACAGGTTGAACTTAAGAATTATCAAACTTGCCATTTAAGGTTAACATTGTATGGACAGACAGACAGACAGTTCAATTTAACTATATGCCATGGGGCAGAAAAACAACAACATTTTATTTATAAACACTAGCATCAGCAATGACAGATCAAATTGCTAGCCATATATTTTCAACTTAAAATGTCGATGCCTTGGTGCGAAAGGGTTGTAACTCACAATTTCACCGAAAATGGTTTTATGGTGTTTTTCAATGTAGGAGCAATATACACACATGTTGTAAAAATATTAAACTTGAAAGCTAAAATTAAACTACCAAAAAAGTATATTTGTCCAAAGGTTGTAACTCAAACAGACATAGTTTGTTGGTGCGAAACGGTTGTAACTTAAGTTACAACCGTTTCGCACCAACATTTTGATAATATTTTGAATAAATCCTAGTGCAAAATAGTTGTATCTCAATATCTTATATCATATTCTGTGAAATATTTAGTGGATTATTTCATTCAAACTAATTGACAAGTTTATAAAACAGTCTCAGCTTCTGATTCCTTGTTATTTACATAATTGTTAAGCTTTCATTCAGACATAATACAAGAATTTGAATAACTTACACATATTTCAAACATAAATCAATTCCAATGCTTGTAAAAGAAACAATATCATAGTACATTGCTATATTTGACTAACAGTACTATAATTGTGATTTTTTCTCAACATAAAAATTGTTATTGGTATAATGTTGCATTGTTTGCAAAATAGCAAGAAAAAGTAATGGACCTATTTTGGTTTTACGAAAATGAAATTACTGTAACTCGAAATAAATTTATTATAAACAATTGTCATACAATATTTTATGATTGTATCATAGTTTGGAGACTTTTGAAAACATGTCAGAGTTAAATTGCATACCAATACATGCACAGTGCTTTAACTCACTGTCCGTCTGGAGCTTGCTTCTTAACTGGTTCATTTTTTCTGGTTTCTACATATTGTGATGACAGGGATAAGAGAAAGGGAAGGAGATAACAGTAGAAAAGTCATATTCAGATGCTTAAACATTTAGTACATTTTTCTTGGATGACTGGGAATGTGTTTTCACTTTTGCCTAAGATACAAAAGAGAAAGAACATCAAAACAATCGGCAATCTGATTTATACTCTCATACAAATCCGACAGCCTTGTGTTTCGATGCTTTTTTAATTACTAAATGTTAAAATAACTAAAAGAAATTATACAATTATTACTCAATTCTTATTTGGTTTTAAACTTACATGAATTACTTTTATCACTTACATGTATTACTATTGGAATATTTTCATGTCTTGTCAAAGACAAATTGTATAAATATTGTACTAAAATTTATTTACGTTACAAGACAATGTCTAAATAGATATGTGAACAAATTTTTCTTTGACAACATATTGTAAACAGTAAGTTTAGAGACATATACATATGTATAGACAAAAGTATTACAATATAACAAAGGTGTTTATGTGTACAATGTAGATAATAGAATTAATATAAACCTACTTGTAGATAAAAGATGTTAAAACTAAAATTCTTAAAAAAATTATTAAAGGATTTCTCAGTATCAATAGAAAAATTTAAACCTAACATTATATCCCTAAAGCAAAGATTAAAAATGTAACATGCTTGTTTGCATGCCTGTTTGATTGAGCTTTTCAAGGATAGCAGTAGTAAATGCAATCAACTGTCAACTCTTCTGGCACAAATTTAAGCAAAACTCAACTAAACATGTTCATGGTGTTAAAATTGTGAAATCACAAATATCTGCTGATGGGACAAAAGAAAAAGACTTAAAGACTTTCCATTAAACTGCAAGCCAACAGTATGATGTATGGTTGAATTACACAGATAAACAGGCTACATATAGGTCTAGCTTAATACAAGTTACATAGGTCTATTATTTAAGAAATAATATATCACAAACTGTGATTTTATCGCTCAATAAAATCACTGTTTGGAGTCGGATGTGTGGAATTATGAGGGCGTAGCCCGAGTGATATAATGATGCACATTCAACAAACAGTGATTTTATCAAGTGATTCCAAGCGCTTTGGATATATTATTTTGATTCTAACACGACATCAACAAATAAAAATTTAATGCTGCCGTACCTTATATTTATCTAAATTGCGCCTGATTTGTTTTCGTACTCATTTTCAACATGTCACATTTTTAGTGGTTACTTTGCGTGTATAATGACTATGTCACATGTCTTAATATAGAATGTCAAACAGTGATTTTATTGCATAATAACGCACACTTTCGGTTCTTCTATGTTCAATAGGGAAAAATGCGGGTCATGTTAAAATATTAAGTAAAATATGTTATTGACCCTTTGTTTTCTGTTAGATAAAAGTAAATTATCAGATATATTCCATCTGCTTTTTAAAATCATTCATAAAGATATTAATCACTTCCTCAGCTGTATGTGCGTTTGTGTGCACACTTGTGAATTTTATTGGGGTCACAGGGGATTGCATTTTGTAATTTTTATTATTTGCAGGCCTTATTTTTTTTCTCATTTAATTACTGACTGATTCAGGCTGGACTGATTTATATAATTATAAACAATGAAATTTGGGACTGTAAAGAGTTGTAAGAATAGCATGAGCTTAGAAGCTTAGAACATCTATAATATTTATCATCTTTCTCATACTTTTGGCTTAATAGTAAAGAAGATCCAGGACCTGGATAATGCTTAAATATATAGAATTTGTACACAAAAGCACATCCTAGGAATTATCTAAGTTTTCAAATTAAGAAAAGCCTATGTATAGAATAGATGGAAAATAAAATGAGAGTATTCTTATTTTCAAAAGGCTTATATTAACAAAAATAATGTGTTTTAGATGGTTTTGTCATTATGTAAGTTAACATTTTGAATTGCGAAAATTTACCTTTGATTCTTGCAAAAACATACATGTTAATGCATATTTGGTACTTATGATGGGTTTGACAAGCTGAACTGTGTGTCACATAGAAAAAATATTATATACATGTATAAAGTGAATTTCTTTAAAAAAAATCATTTGACTGAAATTATATTTTAAAAACATAAAATTTGAAGGGTTTTTTTACTGAAATATCCAGGCAATATGTTAAATTAGTTCAGACTTAACACAACTAAGCTTGGATCTGTCCATTTGACCCATTACATTTATCAGAATTTAAAGCAAAAATTTAGTTACAACCCTTTCGCACCAAATCATTTTTTGAAATTTTTGATTTTTTTGGTGCGAAAGGGTTGTAACTGAAACTTTATCAATTATCTCTTTATGCTGACAAAATAAAATAACCTATCCAATCAATTATATATCAGTAATTGAATTAAAGCCAAAAACCAAAATGAAAGAAGTATTTATTAGAATGTAAAAGAATAAATAAGTTTTTTGTCTCTCCTGAATAATTTCAAAATATTGAGTTACAACCCTTTCGCACCAAGGCATCGATGTGTTGTAACCACACAAATGCCCCTGCATGCAGCCAAAATTTCAAATGTAATAATAATATAAAGTTCCAAATTTGTTTGCACAAACCATTTTTTTCATTGTAAGTTCAAAGCCCTTAAACTATTTAATGTTACTACAAACCATTTTTATACAAAGTTCAAGGCCCTGAAACTATTCAGTGTAAACCTTTTGCAAATAGCATATTTGTAGCCGAGATAATGATTAGAAACTGAGACTTTTTAAACCTTTTCAGAGTTCAAGAGGGATAACTGTCAAAAGACATCTGACCAAAACCAAATTAGAACTTGACTTGCATTTTCTGGAAAAATATGCAATGTTCACCTCGGACACACATCCTACAAAAGTTGGAGCAGAAACTAAAAATTTCTTATTTTTTCTATGTTCAAGAAGGATAACTCTGTCAATAATCATCGGACCAAAACCAAAGTTGAACTAAACTTGTAAATTCTGGTGAAATACTGTACAATGCAATGTCAATCTTATTCACACATTGCTACAAAGGTATAAGGGTGCGAAAACACAAAATTTCAAATCTTTCCCAACATTCAAGAGGGATAACTTTGTCCAAAATAATTTAACCATGACCAAGTTCAAACTTGACCTTCTTATTTTCTTCTTTTTTTTTCAAAGTTCAAGAGAGATAACTCTGGCAAAAATCATTGACCCATGACCAAATTCAAACTTAACCTGAGCATTCCTTTAACATAATATTATCCATATGGCAAATTTGAGTTGAATGTGTACAACTGTTGGGAAGATAATAAACGGAAATTGAAAAAAATTTTCAAGGGGCATAACTCTGTCAAAAGTCATAGAACATGACCAAATTCAAGCTTGACTTCCATATTCCTATGATGTATCCATATGCTAGATGTGAGTTGAATTTGTGCGATTGTTGCCAAGATAAGAAGCAGAAACTGATGAAAAAAAAATAACATATAAATGTGGAATATAAAATAACATATGTTACAAACAAATTATTGTAAAATATTATTTATTTCAACTATATGAACACACAATACATATTTGAAAAAATACGAGGGTCACTCATGATGAAAGTTAAGATATATTTGAGAATACCAGTCCTGATAACATATTACATTGTTCATTTGATTATATAAATAAAATAATAATGTAATTTGGTACGCTACATTTGTTTATTCTACAGATAATTAAAATGCTACATTGGCTGGCACGAGGGTAACTGTATATGGCGGCAACAATTAAGGCTCTCCCAAGTTTCCTTGAAAAAGTTACAAAAAAGAGTTTGATATTCCCATCTGTGGTGACAGCCAGCGTTTGATTTTTTTTCTTAAATATTACAAACAGATCATATTTCTGAAAGAAAATTTCAATTTTGCACCATCTTTAAATTTCACAAAAGCAAAAGAATTTACAACACTAATAACAGAAATGATGTCAACCCAAGCATGCAATTCATTCATAAAAGTCACACAATAACAATTTCGTAGCTTAGTAATACACAAGGGGTGTAAGATGGATTGTTCTTGCAGAAGAGAAAACAGTAGAAAATCCTGTCTGGTAATTGCAACAGTCCTCTTTCCACCACCCTTCCATACACCAAACACAGACTTTTACTACCAAAAGTTCTCCGATTTGATCATTTTAATTCAAACAACCAGCTAAAAATTATGTACACAAAATAATTATATATTGTAGAAAAACTATTGTTGAAAATGAATCACATGATGTGATTTCCAGTTACTTTTCTGATTAAATTGTTTGCCACATATTTCACATTTGAACGGTTTATCTCCAGTGTGAATTCTCATGTGTATATTTAAAGCAGACGGCTTCATGAAGACTTTGCCACATATATTACACGTCTTGTTCCTATTTCTGGCGTAATTCTTGGAAACTTCATCCCCGTCAACTTGATAGTTGCCATGGTAACTCTGTTGTAGATGTTGGTCAGAGTACGAACCTGAAACAAAATATCAGATTTGTGTCAAAAAATGTTAAACATAAAAATACAAATAAATAGTTTTGTGTAGAAATAAACAACACGAAAGTGTGGCGTTGGTGATCGCCGGATTCCAGTTGGACTCTTGTGATAACCATGATTACATAAGATGGCTGTTTGGTCGTGTTGACAACGGTTGCTAATGGTAACAATCCAAAAAGTAGTTCAAATATTACAAAATAACTGTTCATAATGATAATATAATGTAACTTTGGTCTGTTTAAGAGAGCTGTTACAGAAATTAAATTCTGTCTTTAGGGGATATTTATTATTCTTGTTAAAATGAAATGGAGTGTAAAATTACACTCCATTCCGAGTGTAAAATTACACTCCATTCCCCTCCATTTCATATGCAATGTGACAAAGTAATAAATATTACTTTGTCACATTGCATATGAAATGGAGGGGAATTTATTATATTGTATTATGAAATGAAGGGGAATTTATTATGCTGTATTTTGAAATGGGTGTGTAATATAACATTGTTATATGAAATGGAACAATCAAGATCAAAACACTACAGTATATATGATAATCAATTTATTTAAATGAATCTATACATGAAAAACAAACTACATGTAATAATAGCAATATCAATACAAAACAAAATGATTTTTAGGTTGAGACAAAATTAAGGAGATAAACAAAACATTTATAGATTAAAGCAGGCCTTCAGATTCAGAAAATTTTAAAAATTTATCTTAAAGTAAAATATTGTGAGGTGAACAAATTAAGTAATTAATGTATTGCAATTGGCACTTACCCTTGCAGAAATTACTGGTAATTTACCAGGATTTTACTAGGATTTTATTGGGAAATCCCAGGAATATTTACAGGGATAATTCCTAGGAAATGCAAGGAAATCTGAGGAATTTCCAGTTACTGGCTGGCGGTAATTGGAACGACTGAAAACTACTGGTAATAACTAGAAAAAAATGTGAAACCAGGAATGCCTTAGATCGACTTGTACTGGAAAATCCTAATTACTGAGAATGACCTGCCCACGGTATTTGGAACATTTTTCTAGTCAATCCCAGGCATTTCAAAGACCTATGATAATACCAGTAACTCCTGGTATTTTTATAATCTTAGGAATGACTGAGAATTACCTGCCCACGGTATTTGGAACATTTTTTCTAGTAATTCCCTGGCATTTCAAAGAACTTGGATATCCCAGACGTTCCTGGTATTTCCAAGATCTAGGAATAGCCTAGGATTGCATTGTACTGGAAATTCCTAGCAACTGGGTATGACTGGACCACAGCTGAATTACTGTTACTAGGGCCACCAAAGGATCATTACGATTAAAATCAAATACCGATAATCAGTTTTGTAGAAGATATCATTACAAGAAATTGCTGACAATACAAGATGCCATTGGACACAGGGCAATCACATTACTTCACATAAGCACATTGTACTGATGTGAACTAAAATGTGCACTTTTAAATCCAGTTAAATGACAAGCAGTTCAACATCAGTCATAAGCAAACTATTAAATTTAATAAAAAGCATGATTGCATATGAAACAAAGTATTTTCCTTACAGTTTAATTGTTTTTGTATTGTTTAGACACACTTCTTTAGATATATCATTGTAGTTACTGGAATGCAATGAGCTTTGGCAATAACACTTGACTTAAGATTCCTTTTTTTAAAACAGTGTAACATGAGACACCTCTTTGAATTTAGCACTAAAAGTTAAAACATTATTATATAATACTTGACTAGGTCTCTCCTAGATTTTAATTTGCTTTCATCATTTTCTTAACTGATTGAATGCGGGACATCACTTAAACAGTCTAAGAAACGTCACTTAAACAGTACAAAACATGACGCAAGAAACCTCCAGTATTACATGCAACTCCTACATTTTCTATTGCTGTCTTCTGAAATGAGTAAATCCTTGCTGTAAGATCCAATTTTTGCCAGTTTAATAATTTTCTTGTCATCAAATTTTTCATACTGAGAATCTCAGAAATCCACTGAATTGATGATCACTGGTAATCAAATGAAATGTTGATCTTTGGTAATCCAACGACTTCTTTGCATTTTCACAGATATATATATATATATATATATATACAACAGATAGAAAGCTCTAAAAATAGATAATAGTCAGATTCAGACCCACAATCCTTTGCAGGCTTCGGTGATAATTGGGTTTTCTCGTTAGTCTCCCATTTTCGCACTCTCGTTAAACTTGGACGATATCCATGAATTATTGTTTACATACCCCAACATAGATTTTCATCAGAGAAATATTTGTATAGAAAAGTGTGTATAGTACCTTTTACAATAAATAACTATTGCTTCTTATTTAAGCAAAAAAATGTTTCATCTTCCTCCGGGAATTCAATATGACGGTGTTTTGGCTATTTTTACCCAGGATGCATCAAATCTTTGAAAATCCCGCAACATATGATAACTTATAAGAACACAATTTTGCCAATACTGAATTTAACTGTGTGACATCACAGTTTTTTCTCCATGTGTATTTAGCTCCATGGCATTTTGTACAACTTGACCTCTTTCAATTAACTGAAGAATTTATGACAGTTTCTATATCAAAATTTTTTGACCCGTTTTATAGATTTAAGCTCTCACTCTCCTCAGCTTTGAACATCATCCACAAGTTAGTTGAACTCCTCCCTTTGTGGCCTTGTGGTACCAATTCTTAACTGAAATCAAACAAATACATTTCTCTACATATGGAAATATACCAAGATATTTGAATACGAAATAAATACAAATCACTTGGCAGGACGTGAAGTGGATGCACACTTGGTTCAAGCGAGTAAAATCATTGCAAACTTGACAAAATGGTTTCTGTGTCTTAAATATTTACAAAACTCTCACATATTTTTTCAGGTAAGTGGGTTTGTATGTTATTTGATTTTTTTTAAAATGGCCATTCATGAAGGAAGTGTTTATGACACACTCTGTTCTGGGCCTCAGATTTGTAGCTTTTGGTTATACAAAGCTATTGAAGTTATAAACTGGTCATGTACATATTTTGAAATTTGATAAGTGAAAATCCAGGGCGGTTTTTATGCTCATTTATTCACATGTGTAAGTTTTGAAGTTCACCAAAAAAGGCAAACTAATGAAAATATACTGTGTATTTTTTTTATTATTATTTACTATCATTGTTATTCCTGTAATTTAGTGATGTTGACCATTATTTCTGTAAAGTTGGTTGATTCTAACTCAAGCACTCAAGGAACAAATAACACAACATTATGAAACAGTTTTTACGAAGTCAAGGGAAATAACTCTACAAATACGGGATAAATCCACAAGCGGAACCCAAGGTGCACAACTACATATGCTGACCGACCTTCCCGTAAGGTTTAATGACTCTATGTCAAATCCTTTATGATTTACATGCGACAAGTTGAAAATTGCAAAAATTTTCTTATTCAAGGTCAATAACTCTAAAAAATAAAATAAATCCACAAGAAAATATCCAGTGCACAACTTCACATGCTGATCAACATTCCTGCAAAGTTTCATGACTCTATGTCAAACCCATTTTGAGTTACATGCGACACAAGTTGAAAATTGCAAAATTTTACTAAGTCAAGGGCAATAACTCTAAAAATACTATATAAATCCAGACAAAAATACCCAGGTGCACAACTACACATGCTGATCAACATTCCTGTAAAGTTTCATGACTCTAGGTCAAATACTTTGAGTTTAACATCCGACACAAAAGAGAACGGACGGACAAGGGTAAATCTAAATGCCCGTCACTAAAGTGGGGCAACAAAAATATCTTGTTCAAGCGTGTTCAACCACTTCACGTCCTGCCCCCTAATACAATAACAGATTACAGTCATCAAATTTAGCACTGGCCTGGTGGCCCATGACCAGTGTAAATTTTAAGAGAATTTAGTTAAATATATAGTAGAATAAATTCAAAACGATTCAAAAATCTTAAATTCGATGACTGAGATTAAGGCAATGTATTCAGGTTAGTGCTTAAAGTATGACACTGTTTGTGCTATTTTTGTTCTTTGCAAATCATCATGTGGGATTTATTTTAATGGACCAGTATTCAGATTCTCTAGTATAGGCTTAGGCAGTGTCAAAGACAAACCATTTTAGCCAGGCTGTCACCTGGACCACTGACCGATAAATTTTGGTGGCCTAGACAACTTTTTAGTGGTCCAATAATTCCTATACATGCACAGAAATCTAGAGATTAAATCACACATACAAAACAAAAACAAACAGAAAACATGATTTCTGTTTCAAATAAATTTTTTGAGGTATCTTATTGTGATTTAAAAATACAGTCAGTAATGTGTTATTTTAAAATACAGACATGATGTAGGCTTATTGAACATCATCTTTTCTTGTTGATCTTGTTTATCATATTCTAATATAACTACATAATTTCATAGATTAATGGTGATATAAAAATATTGTTTCTGCATACTAGGGTATTGAACTGTCTGGGGGGGGGGGGGGAACTTGCTACCATGCATTTTTCAAAACAATATTTTAAACTTTTAGAGGGCATAAGCAAATAATTTCCTGCAGGGAAGCACAACCATCTTCAACGATGGTTTGTTTTTTATTCATTATTATTATATCTTTCCTGTTCAACAAAGAAATAAATAAAAACAGGTCGCGAAAATATGTGACAAATGTCCGTTTACGCATTTTTTCCAGTAAGGTTTAAGTATCTTAATTGTAACTAGGAATAAGCTGGAAATACAATTATTATTTCTATTGTTACAGTCGGCAAATTGTTTCAAAATAATGCTTTTAGAAGTGAAGAAAGGTCATTAAAATAATCTCTAGACTCTTCATTTTTTCTAGGGGTCATAAACACGCCGGCTCTGTTTGGGAAAAAATCAGTGCATTTATGATAATACTCACAGTGAATTTCACCGATTGCAGCTTTGAAGGTCTTCTTCTGATAATTTGCTTGAGCAATTTCACCTTCCTCGTTGAATGTCTTTATTGGGGAGACGATATCAGTTCACTGTTGATATGAGACGAAGTGTCTGCCGTCTTTGAATATTGCGCGCACAATAAACCTGTGTTCTACGTAATAATCCTGTGTACTACGTCAGTAACATGTGCTTGATTCGCATAATTTCGTGTAGTTCCGTTGTTTTTGCCGTCAATACAATGACTGAATAATTTCAATTATATCGTTGAATTTTATTTCACAAATCTATTATTTTAAGCCCAACAAGCGCTTGAATTTCATACAAAGCTACAGTAGTTTCCAAAACAATTGTGTTGCTACGTATCCAATACGTCATGAAATTATGCTCGTCTTGGTTAGCGTATTATATACGGATATTGCTCGAGTATAAACGTAAAGATTCGCTGGTTAAGTTATCATCGTTAATTTCCGTCAGCATAAATATGACCTGCCACATAAATTATAGGCCTACTTTAATTTGATGCGGGGATTCAGGTTTTGACTCGTAAAAACTTGAAAATGCACAAATTTGACACGTGAAAAAATCTGCACAAGAGTCAATTTGCCACATGGGATTTTCAACTATGCAATAATAATCACCTTAAATCCACCCCTAATTAGATCTACATATGTTCAAATCACACTCCTGGCAGTGTAAGCCGTGTATAAAGTGGTTTATACACACAGCCTGTGCACTGAAGCATGACATCAGTGGATGCAATTTGACAGCGCTAAAAATAGCTCTACACAACTGATAAAAATTACATACTTCAGATGTCAATTATTGATTGTTTTTTTTTAAGGTTTATAATACGTCTTTGATTTACTTGGATTGCCTGTACATTTGTTATTTCTTTTTGGATTATATATTCCTACTATCTATTAATTAAATGGCCTATGATAAAATTGTCATAAATTAAGGTCAATTGATTATTAAATTTCAATTAAATGATAATAATAATAGTAATCCTAGAAAAATATTATTAAATAGATCTAGGTCAGTATGTTGTTTTATATAAAAAAAAGAAAGAAAACATTTTTATTTTCAATTTTATTGTCTTCCTTCTTTATTTACTTGCATGTTTACTTTCAACAAAGAGAATTCCTAGTCTTTAGGAATTTTTGTAAGATTCAAGGAATTTAGCACAGATGTTAAGGATTTTGTTCTACAAGATAAATTCTAAGTAATTCCTAAAGACTAGGAATTTTGCAAAATCTTAAGTCTTAGAAATCTCAGAAAATAAATTACAATTCCTAGTATAACTTAGAAATTGATGAGTTGTTTAAAAATTATTAGAAATGCCTAGTTCTCAGTAACTGGTATTTCCTAGGCCATACTAGAATAGCCAAGACTGGTTTTAACATTCTGGAATTTTCTAGGATAATAACTGGGAAATACTGGGACTTTTTAAATGCCAGTATATATTTCTGCAAGGGTATGATTCAAGAAAATTTCCAAAAAGTGGTCAACATATGCAAAAACAGCCCTTACTGCATTAGTAACGCATTTGAAATATGGTGATAAAATACTGCAAAATCAGTCTGAAACGGCACATGTAAAATTATACTTTTTTGGCTCATCTTGAGGCGTGCAGCTTTAATTTACCTATACCAATTACTTATTCTCAACATATAACTTATCTTAATGTTGACATATCAACAAGTGATAACTTTCATTTTTTTACCTTACCATAAAAGGTCAAATTCAAGGTCATAACTTTCATTTTTTTTTACATTACTACTATTAAAAGGATCAAATTCAAGGTCATAACTTTTATTTTTTACCTTACTACATGTACTATTATAAGGGTCAAATTCAAGGTCATAACTTTCATTTTTTACCTTACTACTACTTAAAGGGTCAAATTCAAGGTCATAACTTTCATTTTTTACCTAAGTACTACTATTAAAAGGATAAATCTAACACTTATTTTGACTTATCAGCCAAATGCACCTTAGCAATTATTTTGACTTATCAGCCAAATGCACCTTAGCAATTATTTTGACTTATTAGCCAAATGCAGCTTAACACTTATTTTGACTTATTAGCAAAATACATCAAACACTTATTTTGACTTATCAGCTAAATGCACTTAAACACTTATTTCGACTTATCAGCCAAATGCACCTTAACACTTATTTTGAATTATCAGCCAAATGCATCTAATACTTATCAGCCAAATGCATCTTAACACTTATTTTGACATATCAGCCAAAAGCACCTTACCACTTATTTTGACTTATTAGCCAAATGCACCTTAACACTTATTTTGACTAATATCAGCCAAATACACCTAACACTTATTTTGACTTATCAGCCAAATACATTAAACACTAATTTTAACCTATCATCCTAATTCACCTTTACAATTAGATGGCTTATCAGCCAAATGCACTTAAACACTTATTTTGACTTATCAGCCAAATTTACATGAACAATTATTTTGACTTATCAGCCAAATGCATTTAACACTTATTTTGACTTATCAGCCAAATGCATTTAACAAATATTTTGACTTATCAGCCAAATGCATCTAACACTTATTTTGACTTATCAGCCAAATGCACCTTAGCAATTATTTTGACTTATCAGCCAAATGCACCTTTGCAATTATTTTGACTTATTAGCAAGATGCAGCTTAACACTTATTTTGACTTATTAGCAAAATACATCAAACACTTATTTTGACTTATCAGCTAAATGCACTTAAACACTTATTTCGACTTATCAGCCAAATGCACCTTAACACTTATTTTGAATTATCAGCCAAATGCATCTAATACTTATCAGCCAAATGCACCTTAACACTTATTTTGACTTATTAGCCAAATGCACCTTAACACTTATTTTGACTAATATCAGCCATATACACCTAACACTTATTTTGACTTATCAGCCAAATACATTAATTTTGACCTATCATCCTAATTCACCTTAACAATTAGTTGGCTTATCAGCCAAATGCACTTAAACACTTATTTTGACTTATCAGCCAAATGTACCTGAACAATTATTTTGACTTATCAGCCAAATGCATTTAACACTTATTTTGACTTATCAGCCAAATGCATTTAACAAATATTTTGACTTATCAGCCAAATGCATCTAACACTTATTTTGACTTATCAGCCAAATGCACCTTAAAAAATATTTTGACTTATCAGCCAAATGCACCTTAACACCTATTTATTTAATGACTTATTAGCCAAATGCACCTAAATACTTATTTTGACATATCAGCCAAATGCACCTTAACACCTATTTATTTAATGACATATCAGTCAAATGCACCTAAATACTTATTTTGACATATCAGCCAAATGCACCTTAACACATGTTTTGACTTATCAGCCAAATAAACTTTAACACAATTGTTTTGATATATCAGTCAAATGCACCTTAACACCTATTTATTTAATGACATATCAGTCAAATGTACAATTGCATGTCTCTTCCAGCTACTTTTCTGGTTGAACTTCCTGCCACATATATCACATCTATATGGTGTCTCTCCAGTATGGATCCTCATATGTATATTAAGTGAACAAACACTTTCAAATGCCTTACTACAAATTGTACATACATGTACTTTCATTTTAGTACTCGGATTACTCCTTATATTTTCTGGAAGTACATGAAGAAAATTCCTGCCTTGTTGAGGTGTCTGTGGGAACGTACCTGGAATGTACAGATGTAGAAAATTTTAATATAGCTTCTGACTAGACTACTTTGAGTAATTTCACTGAAATTCTTTTAATTTTGTTCTGGCTATGTTTGATTGATCAAATATTACATATATCGTGTTTAGCTAGTGTCAATTATGCCAACATGTCATAGCTATACAGAGAATTCCATGTAGCAGTGATTTTTTCTCACTTAACTGGGAAGAGGCCTAAGCCACTTGACTTTGGGAAAAATTATCCCTAAAATTGCTAATTTGGGAAGTAAAAAAGCAGGACTGGTTTAAGTTCACAATTTTGAGAAAACTGTACCTGATAAAGCTGAGGGTGACATTCTAAATCTACATTTATTAGGCATGCACTTTATCAACAGAAATCAGTTTAATTTTAAAACTTTTACCTAATCATTTGGGTCAGTCTATCATAACAGAACAAAGTTATATCAAAACAGAACAAGGTTATATCCATCTGAAAGAATTTTATTTGAGATACATGTATATATACAAAATGCTATAAAATATTTCCAATTAATACATTTGTTACTATAATTATATAGTAACAAAATTGCCTACTGATTTCAACTGATTATGAGTGTCACGTGACCTATTATGAGTTTGCGTCCCGGGGCCGAGAACTAAATATCAGCCCGCAGAACATATGCACGTGCACAAACTGAAACAATGACGTCATATTTTACGTCATCAAACAGTTAACTGTTAAAGTGAAAGTAGGTTATCAGCATGAATGGCTTTATTTTATTACGAGAGCTTAAGCGTAATTCGTACAAACACATTTTTGTTACTATTAAAATTTGAAGAAATAATACAACATATTCATTCCGAAAAAATGAAAATAAAACTTGCTTCTAGATTCTACTGCTTTGAACATACAAACAGTAAACATCTCTGTCCAGAACAGTAGAAGTGTAGACAAGAATTCCAACGCAAGAACTTCAAAGTATTTGTTTTAAATGCTACAATGAGATCTACCAAGTGTATTAAAGACATTAATACACGGCAGAGGAGGGCCGGAAGGTGATAATCTGCCCTGAAATGAAGAATGCCCTCGGGTTGAAGCCATCGGGGCCATTATTCATTTTGCGGGCCAATTATCACCTTCCAGCCCTACTCTGCCGTGTATTAATCTCTTATTCCATCATGTCAAACACCCTAAGAATGCCTGACAATTATAAAATTCATCCTATCATTACAACGCTACAGAACATATAACAGCTTTTTAACAAATTAGAACAAAAAAACATAATAATGTGTCAAAAAGACTTAGATGCCCGCACTATATTTGTGAAATATCTCAGGTTAACTCCTATCAAAATTATAAGAACTTCACCTGTTTACTGCACTTAAAGGTGATGATATGTTAGCAATTAGTAAGAGGCAGATAATAGATAATGAAAACTGCTTTTTTAATATTCATAAGAATGACAGAGCACACATTTCACAGTTTAGACTGTTCAGGGGCATAACTGGAAATATAATAGTTCAGTAAGTTTTTACATGAATTTCTATTGTCATATTACATATATAATGTGTCTATTGTCATAGTACATAATTATATAATGTAACTATATCAATGACTATCACAAATTCTTTTGCCAAATGACTTTAAAATTCCTTGATTATGGACCGGTCCAAATTTTTTAACTGCTCACCTTTGTCTTCCAAGTGTGACCTTGCGCATGACAGACTGTCTCATCAAATTTTTATTTTCTCCTTTCATATGTCCCATCAACACATTTCAAAATCCTTAAATGCATGATTATATGCCAGACAAGATTTTCTAACTGCTCACCTTTGACCTCTTAGTTTGACCTTGACCTTGCAGATAGGGCTCTATGTCTTGCAGATGGCACACTATCTCATCATGCAACACAATAATGCCAGGTTATTTTAAAGTCTCAGAGTTATGCCTTATGAGTCCGACAAGATTTTTTTACCGCTGACCTTTTGACTTCTGAGTGTGACCTTAACCTTGGAGCTAGGGTTTTAAGTCTTGTGCATGATACACCGCCACATCATGCTACACAGTTATGCCAATTGAAGCATGACGGAATTATTGCCCTGACAAAGTGTTCGAACACACGCACACACTAACACAAATAAGCCCAGTGGACTTACAGCAGTAACACTATATGCCCTCTTTGCCATTATCATGGCTGGGGCATAACTTAATAATGACTGTAATCATTTGCTCAACTTATATACAAAATAATATAATGTAGTTGCAAGATTTGCTGTTATATGAAATTTAGGTGTGCTATTATGTCTAAAATATCCCTTTTCATTTAAATCAAATACAAGTGTGTAAATCTTAAATTACAAAATAAATGTATAACAAAATTTCTTCAGTTCATGTACAGTAAAAACCCGCTTTACGACCACCCCGTTTTCGAGACCAACCCGCTAATACGAACGATTTTTTAAAGACCCGAATTTTTTATTCTTTATTTTAATGGTCGCTAACCCCGATTTTGAGACCACCCCGTTATTCCGTAATGCGACCAGTAAATTCAGTCCCATTTCGTAAATTCTGTACGTTTGGAAACCCATAAATACGACCGCGGGCACTTTCTCACCTTGATATTGACATGCGTGTATATTGCTGAAATCTTTTGGACACGTGATGTAAACAACAGTTGTCCTAGTTTTACGACATATTACGACATCCAGTTTACGGCAGAGGTAAAGGTTACTTTGTATCAAACCCGGAAATGATCAATAATATTGCCGATAATTTCTTAATTTCACACCTTTAATGTCATAACTGGGGGATTAAAACAACAAAGTATTGAACAGAAAACCTTCAATAAGTTTTTTAGAGGTGTTGCTGCTATCATTATCTCTTTCGTTCCATAATTTTAAACAAAAACGATTAGGTTTTTGAAGTTGTTATCGGCGATGAAAACTGTGAAAATAATTAAAGGTTAATTGTTCGGTGTGCTTTGTAGTAAAATGGTGATTTAATAGAGTAAGTCGTGTCATTCTTTTAACAATAATGTAAAAATATGTTTGTGTTTAAAGACATTCATAATACGTTTTGTACCTCTAAAGAAGTTTAAAAATTTTATAATGTTAAAAAGTAAAAGAAAATAAATGAAAATAAAAAAATCATAGTGTATGCTTTATATCTTCTCATTTGAAATAGGTTAGCCCAGAATTAAACATGTGTACAGTACATGATATCCCTTAATATATTGCCTAGTTTTCTGTTTGGCCAAACTCATTAATGAGACCAACCCGCTATTAAGACCAGATTTGTTAAGTCCCGTCATTGGTCTCATTAGCGCGTTTTTACTGTAATGTAATTACATTTGATATACATCTGATTTTTCATTTTTTTCTTAGCATACCTGAAGTATGCAGCCACATCCTTTATGAATCTTTTTACATGCATTAATCATTATAGTAAATATTTTAATTTTACAAAATACAAATTCATACAACAGTAAAACATTTCTTAAACACATTAACAAATACCGTAAAATCCCGATTTAACGCCCCCGGGGGCGTAACATTTTTTTCTAAGAGAGTTTCTTTATTTTCTTTAATTAAATTATACACAAGGTTTTCAAAAGTTGGTGTGGGGTGTTAATTAGGGTGGGGGCGTTAAATCGGGATTTTACGGTGTAACCGGTAATAATCAAATAGCTTAATCATTTTGAAAAATGTCATTGAATTTAAAAACATGCCAAAATATTTAAATGAAGCGTGTAAACCATCTAATTACACTAAATCTTGCTCTATGAACAATTGAAAATGAAGTCTTCAAGCATTATTATGAATTGCCAACAGTATAAATTATTATGACCCTGTGTAAACCATTAATGAGCCGCGGCATTACAAAAACCAACGTAATGTGTTTGCGACCAGCATGGATCCAGACCAGTCTGTGCATCCACGCAGTCTGATAAGGATCCATGTTGTTTGCTATCAGTTTCTCTACTTGTTATAGGGTTACAAATACTTTCTATTTTTATATATTCTTTTATCAAGATTTCCACATATTTTTCGCCACGCAGCAAAATATAATTTTACATCTATTGATAATGTACTGTTCTGTTTAAAGAATGTAATTAAGATGTTACTCCAATCTTACAATATTTAATGGCACATGCCAAATTAATAATCAACTTATGTACATACTCAATCAAACAGAGTCTGCAATTCTCTTGTAATTTTGTTGTGATTAATGCTTCAGAGGGATCACTTTGTTTCCAGATTATTTATGTACACTTGCAGCTATTATCACTAGTAAAAGAATAATTTCAATAAAGCCCTCTTCCAAACTCACTAATTAAACTAAATATACTTAAAGGCAACTGTCACATTAATTTAACGAAATAATGATTGAATAACTAAACCAGTCTCTAACTAAACAATATTTGAATAACTAAACCAGTCTCTAACTAAATAATAATTGAATAACTAAACCAGTCTCATATTAAGGTGAACCATTTGGTGGGCCTTTAAGTTTCCTTTCTGGTTAAATCGTTTATGACAGACGTTACACTCGAACGGTTTATCCCCGGTATGTATCCGAACATGCATCTCTAACGCTCCTCTCGTTGCGAACATTTTCCCGCATACGTTACAAGTCTTGCCCTCCATCTTGTGTGGTACCTTTGATGCTTGACTTCTCTCCCCTACATAGTCTGTAACTGTAGGCAGGTTCTGAGCCGTGTCTTGTATGTCTGGGTTAATCATCACCGCTGAAAAAAAAGTACAAATATTCATTTTAAATATCGAACAATCTGCAGGTATTATTCTAAAAATATGGCAAATTTTAACTTAAAGACAATTTCAAGCAATCAATGAAACACTTATTCAGTATAGTAACTTAGTAACTCACTGACTTCTGAGCATTTACGCATTATATAAAAATCAAAGTACTTAAAGCACTTCTGAGCATTTACGAAATGGTTTACTTTGTGACAATAAGTAACAAATTAGCAATCCTTAAAAGTCAAATAGAATGTTACTTATTACCAATACACTTAAATATGGTCACAATTCTAATATAACAAACAGGCAAAATTTATGATAAAAATATTTTATTGGCAAGAATTTTATTACAATTTTATTTTTTCATTATATTTTTTGTTTCAATTTCAATTACTTATTACAGGATGAAAGAATACGCTAACAGTTTCTATACAAGATTATATAATGTTTATTATCCAACATAAAACTTGAAATCATTTTAAGAGATTGCCCTCCTTCAGAAACTGTCTCTCTTTTTATTTCAGAAATTATTTTACAGACTCCCAATACTATCCACTCCTTTCTTTTCACTCATGCATCATGCAATATTTGTAAAAGTGTGAGACTGAAAAAAGGATTGGAGCACCACATTAAATACTGTATTCCGGTACATACCGGACGAGGTGCTTGAATGACAAAATGCTAAAATCTTGCCTTTTTACCCAACGGAATGAACTTTAAAAGATTCCTTAACAATGACTGCCAGCCAATTAGAATGGAGAATTTGATACTTTATTTTGGTTTAATTCCCATCCAAGACAGTAATCAGTGACTTAAACATTTAACTAACAGGTAAGTGTAAAAATTCCAACTGAACTTCTTTATCCAATCAAAATGAACAGCAGTTTATCTATACACATTATGTCAGTCTAGCAACACATACTTTCAATCAACAAACTACATGAGTTTAAGGAGATAGATACAAATAATTAAACAATTCACATACAAATAATCAAATTCGAACTATGTTATTGTAATCAATGTGTAACAAATAGTTATAATTTTATCATGAACATTATAAATTTCACAACCTATATGAATGCAGTTTCTTCCTCTTTTTATAATTATGATGATATTTACAGTGTTTCTAAAAATAGCTTCTGGAATAGGTTCTTTAGTTTTTTTTGCACAGAATATTCATTATAATAGAAGGATGTTAGCGGAATCTCAGTCATGACATCACAATGCTTACTGCGCTTATTATCTATGCATTTATCACATTCTGTCATTCTGTAAAAACTTTTTTTTTCATTCAAGCCGAGCTGACCAGAAAAACCCAAGCTGTGGAATAGATGGGAAAAACCCACAAAGTTGCAAAGTTCTGGAGTATATCTATACTGAATTTCAAACAGAATATTTTTTTCATTACAGATGTTTTTCTATATCCCCATAGATTATACTGTGAATTCACTTAATTTCGTGGGCATGAAATTTCGTGGTTTCGTCACAAAGAACATTTTTGTGGGTTTTTATTGTTGTGATTTTTTCCCAAAAGGTAAAATGTAAATAATGTGATGCAAAATAATCTCACAGCAGACAAAATGAAACTTCGTTTGATCTTAAATTTTGTGAATTGACCTATCCACAAAAACCACCAATATTAATTAGTTCTCCACGAATTAATAATGATTTTGTAGTATGCATCAGAGCTGTATCTTCTTTGCCGTATGCATCAGAGCTGAATCTTCAGGTGAGTAACTTGATGAGCTTTCAAATTTCCTTTCTGGTTAAATCTTTTTCCACACATTGAACATTCAAATGGCTTGTCCCCCGTGTGTACACGCAGATGCATCGCTAATCCAGACGGCTTTGCGAAGTACTTCCCACATATACGACAAACTTTTGCCTTGCTTCTCTGATCTTCTAATTCTGCATCTGTAATATTTAAATAAATGTCATTATTATAAATTATAGACGTTGAAATATTCAAACAGGTTATTAATATATATATGTAATAGAAAAATTCAAATGTTTAAAAATTTTAAAACAAAATAAAAATAGTAAACAATTTATACATTGGAACACTTAAACAATACAATGACTGAACATTTGATTCTTAGCTTACGGGCGACTACAGATTCTACCCTAGCCACATGAGCAGACCGAGATCCATGGTCTGCACTATTAAATTTTGCTATTCAGTTTTCCTTTTATGATTGGTTGAGTTCAGATTAAAATAAGGACAAGTCTATTTTAGGTATTTTAGCAGGTAAAAGGGTTAAAATAATCACATACTGAACAAAACTGGGTATGTATGTACATGTATATTTTTCAGTTGAAAATATGTTCATCACATTGTCATAATACTGTTTTCTCTTTCTTTAAAAGTCTTTTTTCTCTCTCATTATATATATTGAGCTATGTCGAAAATAATATATATTGAGGTATTTGGAAAATAATATATATTGTACTATATGATACATTTAAACTTTTAAAAACTTTATTATTATACAAAACTCATTTCATCAAAATCATGTTAAAAGTTGATATATCTAGCCTGTGTCATCAGGACAAAGTCAGGCCACCATGCACATCTTATCTATACAGTAAGAACAAATATTTCTAACATTACGAAAGGATAGTTCTAAAACACCCTACACTTATTAGGGATAGTTCCAAACACCGTACCATTATTAGGGATAGTTCCAAACAAACATAAATTATTAAAATTAATGATACAGATAGTTGTAAAACAGCTAACATTTACAAGGGATAGTTCTTAAACACATAGCAATCATTTAGGAAAGCTCTGTAACACCTTACAATTACAAAGGATAGTAATTCGTCTGTCTGTCTTTCACAGAAATCTAGCACTTAATGGGTTAATGGATTAAGTTAAATGAATTTGATATAATTTGTGAAATGTAATGTGATTTATCAATTTGCATAATTATGTGATAATATGTGAGATGTCAGCTCATGTTATGCTTAAAACATGTGAGATGTCCGACCATGTTATGCTTAAAACATACGAGATGTCAGATCATGTTATGCTTAAAACCTATGAGATGTCAGATCATGTTATGCTTAAAACATATGAGATGTCAGATCATGTTATGCTTAAAACATATGAGATGTCAGATCATGTTATGCTTAAAACATGTGTGATGTCAGATCATGTTATGCTTAAAACATGAGATGTCAGATCATGTTATGCTTAAAACATGAGATGTCAGATCATGTTATGCTTAAAACATATGAGATGTCAGATCATGTTATGCTTAAAACATGTAAGATGTCAGATCATGTTATGCTTAAAACATGTGACATGTGTCAGATCATGTTATGCTTAAAACATGTGTGAGGTCAGATCATGTTAAGCTGAAAACATGTGAGGTGTCAGATCATGTTATGCTTAAAACAAAGTATAAAATTCATAAACATTTTATTATTTTAAATCTGTTACTTTCAAAGACAATGAATTTCTTTTTTTATTAATACCAATATATATACATGATTGTAAATATACTTCAAATAATCTTCAACATGAATAATAGAACAGATTATTATAATGCAAGAAATAGCCTATAACATTAGAAGCAAAAAAAAAACAATACCATAATAGACTAAAAAGTAAAATTGTTTCTTTTTCTTGAAGTATAGTTGGTCTCCATTTATTGTGAAAAAATGCACAGATTTTGTTCAGTAAACCATCAACAAGTTAAATATTTCGCAACAAAATCCTTTTTAAGTTTCAGTATTTTTTTACCTGCCAGTAAATTTAATTCATGATGGGTATTAAAGCAAAAGATCAACCAGGAAATGGTTGAAAATGGTTGGAAAAAAACATAACACACTTAACAACAGTGCATGTCCACAACTGATCAAAGGTGACTTAATTTCTTTCCAATTATCCAATCTAAGTTCATGAATGTGTAAACAAAGCAAATTAAAAATGTTTCCAAACATCTAACACAAAATAAAAAAATCTGCAGCAACCCAAGATTCAAATCCAAAAAGCTGGCACGTTTGAGCCTCACCATCAATTAACTACACCAAAAACTCCTTCTGTTAAGTCTATCAATCAATCAATCAATTAATCAATCAACCAATCAATCAATCAATCAGACAGATGACAATTTCAAGTGCACGATCTGGTGCGTCTTCCAGTTACTTTTCTGAGCGAATTTTTTCCCACATACGTCACATGTATATGGTTTATCACCGGTATGTACTCTCATGTGAACAACAACTGCGGATGCATTTCTAAACACTTTATTACAAACTGTGCACGTCTTGTTCTTTAAGTCCTTTGATTGACCAGGTATTGTACGTTGCCAACAAGAATCTGTCTGGTACCCCATACTTTCATCTCCACCTGCAATGTAAAAATTAAGTCAGTGAACTAACAAAAATCACAACAACAAGGGCAATAACTCTTGAATAGAAAATTGATTACTGTAATACTAATGCAGTGTAGCAAATGGTAAAGTCAGGGAATATTATTAACCCTGTATGTACTGGTAGTGAATATTAAATCTAATGGGGAATAATTATTTTAGATTTACTAAAATGCATGCTCAATAGAACATGTAAGATTTTTAAAGGGCCACACATCTATGCCAAAAAAAACCATGATAGACAAAATATCACTTTTACATATGAACACGAATCAACAAAACACTAATAATATAGATTTTTCACTAAAACAGGGGCTACAACTCGTGTAACAATGCTCTGACAGTATTACAAATATTGTATTTCCAAATCAAGGGCAACAACTCTAGCCGGTACTAAAATTTGTCACACAATGTACCAATGCAAATTTAATTTTCAGTATAAGTAGTACGGCTGTTGAGAAAAAAGATTTCATACCTTACTATAACAGAGAATTCATAAACATAGTTATGTGGGATTGGGTTCTATTTTCAACCTACTTTGGAGTTCACAAAATATTGCACCCCAGTTTTGCTACAATTTTTTTTTTATTAGTAATCTGTCTTCATCAGATGTGTAACTGGACATAAATGATTGTAAATCAAGAAATAGCCTTTTAAATTTCAGTATGCCTGATTATACCAGGTGTATTATTTCATTAGCGATAAGTTAAATGTTTAAGAAAATGTTTTTTATATAGACTACAGTTTTTTACTATTTAGCATTAATTTCAAGGACTTGAAGATACATAGAAATTCCATTTTTTTTATCCATATTTATTATTTACCAATATACACTGTGAAGTTCATTATAATAATAGACAATGAATACAAGGAGTAATGTTTACATAGTGGAATGCCTTGATTTAAAAAACCACCACCTTTAGATTAACGACCTTATCAAAAACATAATGAACAATTCTGAAACACACATTAAGTTATTGCACTATATCAATCATGAGCCGCGTCATGACATAACTGACATAGCTTGTTTGCCATCAGCATGGATCCAGCGCATATGCGCAGTGATCAGAATCCATGTTGTTTGCTATCAGTTTCTCTACTTGTAATAGGGTATGGTATGTAAGCGAACAGCATGGATCCTGATCACACTGCTTTGATGCGTAGGCTGGTCTGGTACCATGCTGGTTGCTTTAACGCACTATGTTGGTTTTGTAGGATGCGGCTGTTATATTTCATTACAACAATATGCACCAAAATAAATCATATTACATTATAAATTGTGAAACACAAATAAGCACCAAAGTTAATTACGCATAACATAACATAATAGTGAAACATTCAACTACCATGAATCATTATAGGGAAACCCTTGTCTATCTTCATGTGTATATTTAAATGCGACATGATGTGCTATAAATTTTCAGGAATGTTTTTTTAATATTGTATATATATTTACACAGATTAATTAAGGTTTTTTAAGTTCTTGCATAAAAAACAACAACAAAGTTTCAAATCAATCAGCTACCCAAACAGAGCCATGTCAGAAATGTTCCGTGACCACAAAGGGCAATAATTCAAGTTGAAAATGAACAAAAGATTTATGTGTATAAACCTAAATTACGGTATGAATTAAGTTTTAATTGTGACTGAAACATATCAGGCTAAATCCAAATCAAATCACATTGCGAGTCCTGTTCTTAGAAATGTCAACATTGGTATCCTAAGAGAACTTATATCCTGAAACCAGCGCTTGAATCACTATATCTTGTTTTTTCTGGTTTAAAAGCTAATTTTAACACCTTTTTTGGTCATATATTCGTGGTTCAATCTGCCTAACAACCTTTCCTGGATAACTAATCGGTAATTAATCCCTGCAAATAACAGGCAACTAATCCAACAGGATTTCTACATCCGTTCGTGACACAAATGACTATAGACTTGATATCCCACATGCATAGTCACAGAGAAATTAAGCCTTGTACGAGGATCTAACACGCCACCCCGGGATAACTGAATCACATGCTCTCCCTATTAAGCTAAGCGTGCAGACAAGTACTGTCGTTAAACACACACGTCCTAAAATGGCATATCCCCTCGTCTTATATACACACACGTCCTAAAATGGCATATCCCCTCGTCTTATATACACACCTGTCCTAAAATGGCATATCCCCTCTTCTTATATACACACACGTCCTAAAATTGCATATCCCCTCGTCTTATATACACACACGTCCTAAAATTGCATATCCCCTCTTCTTATATACACACCCGTCCTAAAATGGCATATCCCCTCATCTTATAAACACACAAGTCCTAAAATGGCATATCCCCTCGTCTTATATACACACCAGTCCTAAAATGGCATATTCCCGTCGTCTTATATACACACCTGTCCTAAAATGGCATATCCCCTCGTCTTATATATACACACCGTCCTAAAATGGCATATCCTCTCGTCTTATATACACACCGTCCTAAAATGGCATATCCTCTCGTCTTATATACACACACGTCCTAAAATGGCATGTTCCCTTGTCTTATATACACACCGTCCTAAAATGGCATATCCCCTCGTCTTATATACACACACGTCCTAAAATGGCATATTCCCGTCGTCTTATATACACACACGTCCTAAAATGGCATATCCCCTCGTCTTATATACACACCGTCCTAAAATGGCATATCCTCTCGTCTTATATACACACACGTCCTAAAATGGCATGTTCCCTTGTCTTATATACACACACGTCCTAAAATGGCATATCCCCTTGTTTTATATACACACACGTCCTAAAATGGCATATCCCCTCGTCTTATATGTGTAGCAGCATGGGGTTTCAGGTGACTTTTTTGTACGAACGTCTTGCCACAAATATCACACGAATATGGTCGATGTCCGGTATGTATTCTCAAGTGTTTCTCTAAATCCGACGGCCATTTGCACGCACGACCACATACAGAACATACATAAGCTTTTAGATGTTTATTCTGTTTGTAGGAATCACTGGATATTGGAAAGTCCATCTCATTACACCTAGACGCATCATCGATGTATATCCCCGCTGAAAAATAAAATAATATCCTTATAATGTTAAATACTGGTTACAAAACACCTAAAAGAAGATAATCCTATTCACAACAAGGAACAAAATTTTAGAGATGTGACTGTCACGTTTTAACGACAAATTTACCTAAAATACTACAAAGACTCTGTAAAACATGAAACATAAATGTTCTATAAATGTAACATAATCAACATAAATCAATACAAAAACCACCATATAACTTCTCCACAACTAAAACTATGGATTTAGATTTTAAGAAGAATAAGATTTCTGAAATGAAAACTATTATGGCATGATACCAATTACCAAGATATATAAATAGGTAAAACATTAATACGTTTGGTATCTGAACTGTTTTTACCTCACTTAAGAGTCTACTTGGCTACCCTAAAAAGATATTTACTGTTTTTAATTCCCTTCATAAGGTCACAATTATGATGTGTATTTGACAAGGCAAATTAATATCATCAAGCAAAACTTATTTTTATTGTAAGTTGACATATTTTTTTGCCTAGAATTTAAACTTACCTGTTCCATGTAGATATATCTGAGTAAACAGTTACACCTATTCTGTAAATTTTGTAAACTTTTGTGGAACTGTCTACATAAATACATGTATATCTTAATGACAGCCACCATAAATGGGAACTACAAATGCATTTTTACTACATGTATTTCCAAAGGTAGGTAACATTGGAGGGAGAACATTGTGATAAAAGGTTTTCAAAGACATTTTCTTTTATATATTATCATATCTGATTTTCATATTGACCTTGATGGTCAAGGTCGTTCACATAATCAAGGTGTTACTTGAATTATTCAATGGGGCCATATCGTCATTATTGATGCTTTGTCCAAGCATGAATCAAATTTGTCCATTTAAAACAATTTAAGCAAAATTCAATAACTTGACCTTGACAATCAAAGGTTTTTAAAAGGTCATTTAAAGGTCAAACATGAATAATTGAACATGTATTTTATGTCAATGTCACATACGCTGTTTTTTCCAAACATTAATCAAATCTGTAAATAAACAACACAGTTATGACAATTCAAGAACAATTCAAAAATTTGACCTTGAAAGTCAAGGTCACTTAAAAGTCAAGGTCATATTTGAACTTTTCAAGATGTCAGTTGTGTTATATGTGTTGTTTTGTCCAAGTATGAATCAGATATGTAATAAATGAAATAATAACTACAAGCAATATCAAATAATCTTACCGTGATTTTAAGGTCAAAGGTCAAACTATGAAGCAAATCCATAAACAGATAACAAAGTTAAGACAGAAAGAGAAAGAAAATTAAATATTTTGACCTTGACAATCAAGGCAATTTAAAGGTTATGTTCACACTATGAGAAAACTCCAAACTGTAGACAAAAATAATTATACAATGCAGGTAACTAAGAACAATGTAGGTTACATAACATTGAAAAATAAACTTCAGCAGTAAAACAATCCTCTTTCTTTCACATTTATTAAGTCGATGATTGTCTTTATTTCAAATTAAAGAGAAATTTCAGGGTGGGGGCGTTAATTAGAGTGGGGGCATTTAATCGGGGTTTTACGGTAGATTAGATATTTTATTTTAAAATATAAAGAAAAATCACACTGTAAAACAAGCTTTGTTTCATTCATATTTATTTAATTAAGTCCAAGTTGTGCTAAAAATATATACATTAATTCTTCACTATAGCAACTATTTCTGTTGTTTTTTTCTCTTACTTTTTATCAGGACAATATTACAGGCAACTGATGACCTTCAAAACACATCACTAAATTCAAACAGGCCAATATTTGTGCATGAATAAATTCTGTAGAGCTCTATTATGAACCAACAAAATTCAACATGAATTTTATGCAACAGGAATAAAAGTTTCAGGTTTATTAAACTTGAAAAACATCAACTTCTATATCAACTGTTTTTGGCTCTTTTTTTTTTATTAACTTTGTTTTTACTCAAACTGTCACATAACTTGTAAGAATTAGTATCAAGTACGAGTTCTATCCCAGCAAAGATTGGTCTTGGTGAACTACCAGATGAGACTTCATATTATTACTCTGTGTAAACCGTTTCTTACATATCGGACACTCGTAAGGTTTCTCTCCAGTATGAATTCTCATATGTAAAGTTAAACCCCATTCTTTCGTAAATGACTTGCCACATATATTACAGGTGTTCCTCTTGCAGCCTTGCTGGGTAATTACAGTATTTGGACTAAGAAATTGGCCGGGGTTTTTATGCTTAAATGGTCCATTGGTAGAGTCGAACATCTCCATATAATTGCTTCCTTCCATGCCCATATTGGACCAATCAGGGGACAGCGTTGATGACTGATAACCACTGTTTCTGGTATCTGTAAAAAATAAAAATAGAACTCAATTGGTGATATACAAATAAATTTCTTTCCAACAATGTAAAACATGTTACCTCAAGAGCCAAATCATCACTAACAAAAGTAGCATATAAAATGCCTAATACCTCCACAACCAAACTATCAGTAACACTGAAACTGCGTTACAATGTAATACTATATTATAACAGACTCATTAAATTTCTCCGATTTGATTTTTTCTTCACTACAAACACATCACAAATTTCATTTAAGTGGTGACATGGCAGAGTGGTTAATGCATCAGACTAGTAATCTAATGATCGCTAACCACATGGGTTCAAACCAAGGTCAGGGGCAAGTTGTTGTTTCCTTGATCAATAAAACTTTACACTCATTGCTCAGTACTGGTTGGTTACCAGGGACAGATTCGAAAGTGTGTCTATAAGCTTATAGCTTCCTACACAATCAAACTAAAATAAATTCTGTATAACACTGGCTGTACAGCTAACAGTATGAAATACTGTCAGATGGCATGGAGCTATTAAAGCTCTAAACAAAATTGCTCAAATAACCAAAATTTAGATAGAATTGTAAACATATGGAAAAATTCATCATTATAGATTACAGTACAGTCAAACCAGTTGTAAAGGCCTTTACCGTATACAGATTGTCATGACAACCATTAAATTTTCATTAACACACTTAAGTTTAAAGGAACTCCACTGAGGTCCACTAGCCTAAAATGATAAATTTTGAAATTCTTTCTTAAAGCAACTGGTACTCTTAAATTTGAAACCAAGCTGTAGATTTTTTGATTGATTTGAGTGAAAAGTGTTGAAACGGATTTCATTTCTTTTGGCCAATTAGCACAATAAAAATGATTATTTCTGGGAAAAGTAATGAGTGAATGACCTGAAATTTTGTACATGAGTTACTGGTCTAGACATACATCTAGTTATACAAAAATCTTGAAAAAATATTGTCAGTCCCTTCACGTAAAAAAAAAATGCAGTGGAGTCCCTTTAAGAAGCCACATAATTCATGAAATACCGCCTTTTCCACTCCTTAAGACCCAGTTTTCACGATGACAGGTTCTATTGTAAACTTAATTCAAACATTTAACCACAAGTATATTTATGTAACTTTATTAAATGCAAATATATGCACATAATTATATGCACAAATCCAACACCTTCTTTTTTAATGTAACTGTATATACAAATTGAAAATGACAATGTATTAAAAAACAAATTTTGTACACGTAACAAATAAAGAGTAACTAAAAACCATCACATACATGCATACCCACATCCTTTTCATTTATAAATACATGTATATAAAAAAAAATCAACATCAAAAATACATTTGCTACAAAACATCTCACAGTACATTTCAACCATCTTCATTTCTTACACAAGCTTTTACAACCATTGTGAAACTGAGTTTTGTCAGTAAATATATAATCTAACTTTATTTTTTAGAGACAGTTAATTGACTATTGATGATGATAATGATGATGGTGATGATAATGATGATGATGATAATGATGATGATAATGATGATGATGATAATGATGATGATGATGATATTATTATATACAAACAATCAAACTATTTACACATGTATATACTCCTCAACCAAAAAGAAATAATAAAATAACAAAAATAAAAACAGCTTCAATTTCCCCGTGGCAAGCTTTCAGGAAATGAGTTTTTCAATTCATATTTCCCATTAGATAATGCATCATCACAATGGTATTTTTCATCTCTTTAATAAAAATACATACATAACCTTGCATAAAAAATGTACAATATCTTAGAATCTTGAATAAAAACATAAGGTTTAGAATTTGATCTACTTATTTAACTTATTTAACTTAACTTACTTATTGAAAATCATCTATTATAATTACTACATAGAAAATTGATGATAGTCACATATTAGAAATAAAATTAACTAGAACAGTGTAGAATAAATTAAAAATTAACTGAAAAATATTACAGAAATCATAGTGTTTGATAAGGGTGTCACATTTATCTGATTTCCTTAAATGAGTTTGGTTGGTTTTAAGCTAAAAACTTTAGTTTTAGACTAAGTGCCGATTGAAAAAAATAATTATTCTAAACATTACTTTGACATTCTATTTGTGTTTCAGTTGTTTTATCAGAATGCTATCTGATCTTGTACAGTACTTTCCTAAACAAAAAATTGTTACTTTATAATCAGACTTCTATTGTAATTACTGAGTATAACAAAATATGAACAAAAAATGTTAAACGTTTAAATCGCAACCTAATCACAATGTTGAACGTTTAACTGACATCACTTCTTCAAGTAGTGTAGTTTCATCTTATGAGCATTTAAATTTGTTTTCACATTAAACCCTCGACCACAGATGTCACAAACAAAGGGCCGTAACCCTGTATGTATAATCACATGCCGCTTTAAAAAGTCTTTACGAGAGAAGCATTTGCCACACTCCTCGCACTTATATAATGTCAGACCGCTGACACTCTTCATCGGAACCGGATCTATATTTAGACTCTGGTTACCCGTAACCATGGAAACATCTTCGGGAGCAGTATATGACTTTCTGCGTGTGTCAGAGTTTTCAAAATTCATTTGATTGAACAGTACTTGATTTTCTCCGAGATCTTGAGCGCCATCCCAAAAGTTTCCATTTCTGTGACTGCCAACATTATGATGTCCGGAGGTGTTTAGACCAGACGTGTTTAGAATGTCAAAAAGCTGATCTTGATATGAACGGTTTGAAGCCTCCTTCTCTAGCAGTAACAGCGGCAGATCCTCTGAAATAATACAAGACAAAATTGTAATTTACTTTACATAAATATTATGTACATCCGGTCACATACATGTATAAAGATATTTTTATGGATTGCGTGCAAGTTGTTGGTTTTTTTTCCACCATATAACCATGAAAGCATAAAACGTTTAACAAACATATAAATCAAGTAATGAAACAAAAAATACATTAATTCAAACTACTCTTTATTGTGACTATCATACATATAACAAATGAAACATAGCAACCTGTACATCATTAATAATCATACATGTTAATATAATATGTCCAGATTTTTAATTTTTTCATGATATAATCATAGACATACAACTACTAACTCATGATGTGGAATCAGTGCTTTCCTCCTGAAGTGTTAGATTACAAAGGTAATTAGAAATTTATTTTCTATAAAGTCTAAGTCAATAATTTCAATAAGAAATGAATGCATATATTTTAATGATTACATATAAAGTTCACAAATATTTGCAGCACATATTTTACATATTCTTTAATGTTTGAAAATTGTTTTATAAGCATAATTATAGACATATATAAAATTTCACTCAAGTGTGGTATACAACCTCAATTATAACATACAGGATCTTTAAAATATATATAAACAGGTTTCCAAGTTATTTATGACCTGAAATAATTACTGAATGATTGAAGAGTTGTCTATATCCTATTGTATCTATATCCTTATAATATTTAAATTGAAAGGTCACATGACTCGCACGAGGTCATTTTTATATAAATGATGACATCACAATGACAGTTAATAATAGTCTCTGTATGTCAGGGGCTAATTGTTCAACTGTTTTTGTCCTGATGAAGGTCCAAAATGAACCTTAACCAGCAGACATTAATAAATGACCAGATCTTGGTTTTGTTGTGTTTTAGCTTCTCTTAATATTTGTTCCTTACAATAGTGTGTAACAATATTTTACAATATTTATATACAAATATAATTTATATACATCATGTAATGAGGATTTTAACAGTTGATTTTTACGTCAATAACAATTGCAGTAACCATTTCTTTCATATTCTGCCAAGTGTCAGCAATTTCACTGATTCCATTTTTTACCATTGTACACGCATGGGAAATATTTCTAACATTGACTTGCTAGTCAGAACTTGGTTTTACATAATTTCCATCTTAAAGGACTCGTTAATTAAATGGTAAATACTTGTTATCATTGGTGTTTTTTATTATTTTCAAATTCAACATTATAGGTACATGTATAGTCAAATTTTGAACTGTTTTAACATTTTTTACACCATTCTTTACACAAATGATAAATTCATTATTTTCCCAGCAGCGTAAAATAAAGTCACATAAATTTATCTTATATTTCAGTAATCTTGTTCAATGTCAAAAGGATAACAGCCATTATTCCAATAATCTTAATCTCACTCCAGTTTTATGTGTAGTCATATGTGACCTCACTCCAGTTTTATATGTGTGGTCATATGTGACCTCACTCCAGTTTTATATGTGTGGTCATATGTGACCTCACTCCAGTTTTATATGTGTGGTCATATGTGACCTCACTCCAGTTTTATATGTGTGGTCATATGTGACCTCAATCCAGTTTTATATGTGTGGTCATATGTGACCTCAATCCAGTTTTATATGTGTGGTCATATGTGACCTCACTGCAGTTTTATATGTGTGGTCATATGTGACCTCACTGCAGTTTTATATGTGTGGTCATATGTGACCTCACTCCAGTTTTATATGTGTGGTCATATGTGACCTCACTCCAGTTTTATATGTGTGGTCATATGTGACCTCACTCCAGTTTTATATGTGTGGTCATATGTGACCTCAGATTGCCTTTCACATTAAAACTTTTCTTGCAGATTTCGCAGACGTACGGACGTTCACCGGTGTGCACACGACTGTGGTTCTGCAGATGAAGCTTCCTGAGGAAGACCTTCCCACAAATAGGACATACATGCTTTTTTCCACTGCTAGGAGGAAGCTCTAATTGAGGCAACACCTGCCCGAACAATCTTTCCATTGTATCTGAAATAGGTAAAGAAAATGGAAAATATTATCGTCTAAAATTTAACAAAACTTACAAAATATTTTACTACATTTAACAATATCATTCAGCATATAAATATAATACATTTTTGTTTAGTTAAAAATATATTAAAGGGACTCCACTGAGGTACATATTAAGCCTAAAAATATCAAATTTGAATGTCTTACATAGAGCACATGGGGCACTTAAAACGGCAAAAGATAACTGAGAAATATATACTAAAGATAATTGAAAATGGTATTTTGCTCTATTCATAGCCCAATTTGAGTTAAAAGCACAGCAACACTTTTCAACTTTGAGTCTTTTTTCACAATCTGGAAAAAAACAAAGTGAGCAAATGATCTGAAATTTTGCCTAGTCATACATTAAATGGAAAATTAATCTGGAAAAAAAATATATTTCCAGTCCCTTCATGTCAAAAAACCTTAGGGCAGTCCCTTTAATATATTCTTATCAACTTAAAGATTTAACAGAATATAATATTTGACTCTGAACAATAAAAGGGAGAGACAATATAAAGACATTGCAAGTTGAAAATAAAAGTATTTAATTTGACTATTGACAAAATTTAAGTTTTACATAATTTGGGTACAAGTGACAAATATACCAGTTTCTTAGATTATGATGATTTACAGAACTATTAAGGGGTACCAGTAAATATACATGGGATAATAAGATACTTTATAAAACACGAAGAAGAAATATAAAGTGTCATCAAAAACCTTGATAACCTACGAACCAAGAATATTAAGCACAAGTTATAATTAAAACAATTTCAAAAGTTTTAATTAAAACAATTTCAACAAGATTGCATTTGAGAAAAATGCTATGCCACCGCATGGTTCAAATTTCATAGCTGTACATCAAAGGACAAGAAAGTAGGTCACATCATCAAAATCTAGGTCACCTGATATCAAAGTTCAATTTTACAACTAAAACTGTGCACATGGTCAAAATGTCATTGCTGTACATCAAAAGACAAGAAAGTAGGTCACTGTCCCCTTGGGCAAGGCATAATTTTGACCCAAGGGTTTAATTCAAAACAATTTTGATACAGGTCCACCAAACAACATTTCAAGTCAAATATCTAAGCTATAGCTTTCTCCCATTCAGAAAACATTTGTTTTATTTTCTGTTTTTACTATGTGTACATAATGAGAATCACTGCCCCCGGGCAGGGCCAATTTTGACACCAGGGGAAAATTTTGAACAACTTTGGTAGAGGACCTATAAATGACATTATATATCAAACATCAATGCTCTATGCCTTGTACCTTCAGACAAAAATATTTTTTTATTTTTTCACTATATGTACATAATGAAAATCAATGACCCCCGGGGCGGAACCAATTTTGACCCCAGGGCTATAATTTGAACAATCTTGCAAGAGGTTCACTACACAATGTTTCATGCAAAATATCTTAACTCTAGCCTTTGTAAATTTAGAGAAGATGATTTTTTAAGTTTTTACTATATACATATAAGGAAAACCTATGGCCACCGGGGGCGGGGCTAATTTTGACACAAGAGGCAAAATTTGAATTACTTTGGTAGAGTACCTTTAGATGATATTATTTAACAAATATAAAAGCTCTTGGCCTTGTACCTTCAGACAATAAGATTTATTTATTTTTTACTATATGTATATATTGAAATCAATGACCCCAAGGGCGGGCGCAATTTTGACCCCAGGGCTATAATTTAAACAATCTTGCTAGAGGTTTACTACACAATGTTTCATGCAAAATATCTAACCTCTAGCATTTGTCAATTGCTAGAAGAATTTTTTTTGAAGTTTTTACTATAAGTTTTTACTATATACATGTAAGGAAAACAAATGACCCCCGGGCGGGGCCGATTTTGACCCCAGGGCTATAATTTGAACAATCTGGGTAGAGGTCTACCAGACAATGCCTTATGCAAAATATATAAGCTCTAGGCCTTTTGGGTCTTTACAAGAAGGTGTTTTAAGTTTTTACTATATGTACATATAGTGAAAATCAATGACCCCGGGGCGGGGCCGATTTTGACCGAAGGGCTATAATTTGAACAATCTTGGTAAGGGTCTACCAGACGATGCCTTATGCAAAATACCTAAGCTCTAGGCCTTTTGGGTTTTACAAGAAGGTATTTTAAGTTTTTACTATATGTACATATAGTGAAAATCAATGACCCCCGGGGCGGGGCCAATTTTGACCCCAGGGCTATAATTTAAACAATCTTGTTAGAGGTCTACCAGACAATGCCTTATGCAAAATATATAAGCTTTAGGCCTTTTGGGTCTTTACAAGAAGATTTTTTTAAATTTATTCTTATAATTCCTTTTGGTTGCCATGGCAACCAGATTTCTGCATGGAATGAAATTCATTGAACAATTTGGAAGCCCTTCACCCAAGGAACAATCCTGCCAAGTTTGGTTGAAATTGGACTAGTGGTTTTTCTAAAGAAGATTTTTTAAGTTCACTATATAATCTATATAACACACACACAAACACACACACAAACACACGCACACACACACAGGTGAATCGCTATATGCCACCGCATCGCAGATGCTGCGGTGGCATAAAAATCTGTTTCCTCTAAATTGTTCTATATCTTAAACCCATTTTGACTAAAATTGATACAGAAACATCATATTGTATCAATTTATGTAAGTAATTCTTGACATAATTTAGTCAAATAAGATGCACAAATGCACCATAATATTGCCAAAAGTCCACATCCCATAACCCCCCCCCCCCCCTGCACCAGTCATTAGATAATGCCATGGATATTTTTTTATATATAAAAAGCATAAAATTTAATAGAATTGTTTCTCATGTTCATAATTATATAGATTTTTTATGTGTCCTAGTTTATAAAAAGCTTTTTGTCAAAATTTAATAACTGTACAATGTGTACAACTATAACATTTTCTATTTAATTATAAATTCATAATAAATTCTTA